TGATTGATCGAAAAAAAATCATAACTTTCTGTATATTCATTGGCAATTTTGTACTTAAAGACCTAATATAATTTGAAAGTAATTCCTGTTTACAATAATTAGGTACTTAAAAATTTGATGAATCTACATCACGAATATTACTTTGCTTTGATGGTAATAAAGCAAAAAATATATATTAAAGAATCTTCGTAAGCAGTCAAAGTTTACTTACTTAACATTTAATAAAAAGTACCTACACCTCGAATACTTCAATACTTTGTTAGGTTACTTTTAGCGTTCATCAAATAATCTTGCGCGTTGTGCCAAAACGTTTCTGGCACGACAATGAGTGCAATGTATTTATGTTTCGACGTGTCTAAGGGTGTATACAGACCGACTGCATACATCATTATACATATTTCACCGAACTTCGAGGTCGACTACATATTTTGAACCGAATTAGACCTATAAGGTCAAATTTACGTAATTTTAGTATGTTTGTTGCGGCCATGGGAATATCTAATCGGCAGGTACATAGCACATACAGTTAGAATTTTTTTCCATTATTATATATTAGTGCCCAATCTATATCCCGCGTTAAGCCTAAAACAACGCTGTTTGGATATGGTTAAGGCGGATATGGAGGAGAATAACCTCACCCAGAAGGATGCCGAAGACCAGACAAAGTGGAGGAGATTAAGTTGGAAAGAGAACCCTGGCACTAGAGCGGGAAAACGCTAGGTAGAAGAAGAAGTGCACAATCTACATGTTCCATCGATGATGCTGCTGCGCATAGAAAAAGCGGAATTTTGACCAATGCGTGGAGACAAGGTTGTAGTTTTGGACACAACCCACTGAGTTTATCGCCGGATCTTCTCAGTAAGTCGCGTTTCCGATCCGGTGGTAGATTCTGCGAAGCACTGCTCTTGCTAGGGCCAGTGTTAGCAACACTTCCGGTTTGAGCCCCGTTAGCTCACCTACACGTCAAGGAGAAGCTGAAATAGCCTCTCAATGCTATCAGCATAGGTAGGGATATTTTTTTTTTATCTAGTTTGATCACCGAGCAAAAACTTGTTTAGTAATTTTATGAAACGAGAGCGTCAATCCGCATACATACATAGGCGGCACTGAAAATTTCGGGAATTAACGAAGTGACAACATTACTATTTAAAAATGTAGGTATTTATTGCTTTTCGAAGTATTCTCCGCGAAATTTGACACATTTTTCCATACGATGCAACCAATCATTGAAGCAACCATTCCATTCGGAAGTTGGGGTCTCCAAAATGGCCGTTTTGTAGGCGTCCACAGCTTCTTCAGGTGATGAAAATCTCTGTCCACGCAATTTATTCTTTATTTTAGGGAAAGTATAGAAATCATTAGGGCTTAGGTCGGAGCTGTACGGCGGATGGTCTAATAATTCTCTGTTTTCTTGCTCTAAAAACCCTTTTGTTCTGTGCGCGGTGTGAGAACTCGCATTGTCGTGATGGAGGATGATGCAGCGGTTGCAGTTCTCTTTACGGAGTTCAGAAACGACCTGTGGCAAACAAATGCTAGCATACCATTCTGCACTAACCGTTCTTTGTCCCTCAAGAGGAATAGTCGTAACATGGCCGGTTTTGGAGACAAACGTGGCCACCATTTTTTTTGCAACACTCCGTGAACGAACATTTTTTGTTGGCTTTAACTCATTTTCGAACACCCAAACTCGTGACTGGTTTGTTGTTTCGGGTTCGTACGCGTATATCCAGGATTCGTCACCTGATACAATGTTGTATACAGCATTTGAGGATCCTGCATGGAATCTTTCGAGAGTTCTGACGCACCAAGTAACGCGAGCCGCTTTTTGCTCTTCACAGAGCGAATGCGGTATCCATCGGGAAAATAACTTTTTTACACCTAATTGTTCATGCAAGATTATTTGTATTTGACTCATGCCAATGTCTAAAGTTGCCTGAATTTCGCGGTATGTCACATGTCGATCTTCCTCAATCAGCTTNTATTTGACTCATGCCAATGTCTAAAGTTGCCTGAATTTCGCGGTATGTCACATGTCGATCTTCCTCAATCAGCTTACGCACAGCATCAACGTTTTCTTGGGTGACTGCAGTTTTTGGACGACCTTGACGGGGATCATCACTGAGCTTGACACGTCCACGTTGAAACTCAGCAAACCAGCGATAAATTGTGGTTTTGGATGGGGCTTCCTCACCAAATGTAGAAATCATCCGGTCAACATACTGTTTTTGTGTTAAACCACTTCGAAAATCATAATAAATCATCGCTCTTGAATTTTCTCGAGTCAATTCCATTTTCTCAACGACTAAACAAGTTTGACAAAACCTCGTGACAAGACCGAGGATCGAGGATTTAAATAAATAAATGGTATTCGATTTTTAAAACCAAGGAGTTTTCAATTAAAAAGATTTTAATATGACAGGAACTGTGGAAATATTCCATTCCCGATACTTTTAGTGCAGCCCTCGTATTAGGTACATATATTCATATACTTAGCCTGGCCATAAATACTGTTACAAAGGTACTTTTAAAGTACTTTTACAGTGTGTTAGTTTAATACATAAATATAAAACAATTTAAAGTATAAAAAGCTTATTCGATGTGGTCTCCATTGGCTGCAATACAGTCCTTTAAACGTTGAGACCAGTTATCAATAGAAGCACGCACTCTTTCCATGGGAAAATTTTTGCTTTTATTGCTTAGATGGGTGGACGAGCTCGCAGTCCACCTGGTGTTAAGTGGTTACTGGAGCCCATAGATATCTACGACGTAAATGCGTCACCCACCTTGAGATATAAGTTCTAAGGTCTCAGTATAGTTACGACGGCTGCCCCACCCTTCAAACCGAAACGCATTACTGCTTCACGGCAAAAATAGTCAGGGTGGTGGTACCTACCCGTGCGGACTCACAAGAGATCCTACCACCAGTAATTACGCAAATTATAATTTTTCGGGTTTGATTTTTATTACACGATGTTATTCCTTCACCGTGGAAGTCAATCGTGAATATTTGTTGAGTACGTATTTCATTAGAAAAATTTGGTACCCGCCTGCGGGATTCGAACACCAGTGCATCGCTCGATACGAATGCACCGACGTCTTATCTTTTAGGCCATGACGACTTCACTTGATGTTAGTTAGCGAGAAATTAGAGAATGGACGCAGCAGTCTAAGGTAGATCAATCTAAAAACAACTCTATTTGTTAAGACGGGGGTTTTTTAATACAGGGTGGCCCGTCAGTCAGTCAGTCAGTACGTCAATGGTACCGTCAGTTTCCTTTAATTCTTGAACCAACTGAATTTTGTAAGGGTGCATATGTAAATCTTTCTTCAAAATCCGTTGTAACGATGTCCTGGATACGTTTAATGCTCTGGCGCGCTTACGAGTTGACTGTGTCGGATTTTCGCGAATAGACTGTGTCACTGTGTCTATGTTTTGTTCCGTACGTGACGTCCTTGGGCGACCCAACCNTGCATATGTAAATCTTTCTTCAAAATCCGTTGTAACGATGTCCTGGATACGTTTAATGCTCTGGCGCGCTTACGAGTTGACTGTGTCGGATTTTCGCGAATAGACTGTGTCACTGTGTCTATGTTTTGTTCCGTACGTGACGTCCTTGGGCGACCCAACCGCGGTTTATCTAACGTCGAACCGGTCTCCTCGAACTTAGCGACCCAGTTCTTAATCGTTTGAAGAGTTGGAGTGTCGTCAAAGTTGTGTAAACCTTTGTGTTCTCGAAATTTACGCCGCGCAACGGTTGCCGAATTGTCGTTTTTATAAAACTCGCGCACACAAAACGCACGGTCCGCTCCGGTAAAACGCTCTATCGCGACTAAATTTCCAGAAACCGAAGTTACTCCCCCCGCTTCCCCTGCACCGCTCACGCGCGCCCTGTTCGTTTTATTCAAATTTTACTTTTCAAAGGACTTATGGGCCACCCTGTACATCAATGTAAGACGGGGAACTTGTTAGTCGCGGACTCGATTATAGTTGATTCGATAGTGATTATTTTAACATATTGAACTTGTCCATTCTTACTGTTGATACAGTTTTTGGAATAGACGGGCGCTCTCTGCTCCTTTAGATATTAGGTAGACACCCCCCTCCTGGTAGAAATGTGTGAAATCACAGATTATAGCATCAGTGGAATATCGTGGGCACAATTATTTTCTATCACCAAATACAAACCTTGGTTTTTCAGTGCCATTGTGTTTTTTTCTGTCCATCGTACCAGTATTTGGAAAAGCAAAAATAAAAGTGATTGATCAACGAACATTTTGCAACAACAATATGTCGGCGTTGCCGGGCTTCGTTCCCGGCAGAACCCGGCATAGACGAAACAGACCGAAATATAAAACTGATTGATTTTTATTACTTATTTTAAACGGTGTTCTTAGTGCGAGTTTTTTAACGTTTTCGATAGCGTAAAAGTTAACTCAATATTGTATGCAGTTGGAACAGCGCCCCTAGCGGCAAACGTAGGTAAGCGTTCCAACTCCATACAAATTTGAGTTAACTTTTACGCTATCGAAAACGTTGAAAAACTCGCACTAAGCACACTGAATTATTTAAAATCATCTACAGCGCGGAATGTTGTCTTGGGAAAAGGCGCGCGATGCCTGCAAGCTCCGTTACTTTTATTTCGTGTTTCCATACTGGAAATCAATTGAAAGTAATCGTCATTTGTGTAAAGATAACCAAAGGTATTGGCTTATTCCCATTCCGGTTTAAGGACATTTCATTTACGGGCTATATTATAATCATGACTTTTTCAACAGATTGATACGACAAGGTTTTTCCAATCGAACAATTTATGATATTATATAAATGCATAGCAATGCAACTAAAACAATAATTATATCTTTGGATTGCTTTTATTATTACAATATTTTTATTGTCAAAAAAAATACTTTCATTAAATTTAACTTCAAATAAAATATCAATTTACAATATCTTGATATTTTAAATCAATATTAATAAATAATATCTATGAATATATGCCTAAATCACTAATCTTATCTTTAATTTTATCGGAAGGAATTCATTACAAGGTTAAATTAAAGCATGGAAGGAATATACATTACGTATTAAAATAATTATTTAGTTTAGTTTCAAATGTTGCAGATATTAGTAATTTGTATCAAATAAATTAAAAGATTGAGTAATACAACTTAGTGTATAACTTTTTCACTTATTGTAAACATATACACAATAGGCTTCAAGTATTTTCACAAAATTGACATTAAAATTGAGTGATTCATTAAAAAAGATCACAAAAAATAAAATCTATTTTATTAACATTTTTTTAAATAGCCCACCTCCTTTGAATTCCATCAAAATGAACATTAAAAGTAATAATAATGCAACACTAAATACTTTTTAAAACTTCAGTCCAACACTTAATACAACAGCAGCACCACTCACTAAAAATAAGTATATTATAAAAAAATTACAATAACATATAAATAAATTTATCATTTTTGTTAAGTAATTTTTTATTTATTTATAAAATAGTATTTCCTTTAAATTAAATTGAGCACTAACAACATCATATAAATTTTGAAAAGGAATCGGACGAAACACACTGATGTGTTTTAAAATAAACAAATCAACAAGAAGTTGATTTTGTATTTTTTTTTTATTTTATTACTGCTGCTTCTTCTCAATCTTTCATCTAGTTTCATTAGGTGCTTATCATTTTCTAACTTAACCCTGACATTAATTCCCATCTTGACTTTTAAATCTAAGGGTACAAGATGAATTAACATTCAAATGAGACATTTGCATGTATGTCTATTGGGCTGAACCCACCGTATAAACGACAAAAAATGATTTCAATGTCAGAAATTTTGTCAAATTCTGATTGCTCAAGCATTTAACTGCATTACATATTAGGTCTTGTTTGTCGTATTTTTTTCTTTTTCAAAACGTATGTTTATACTGACTGATTATAAACAGTTTTTTTTAAATCTTTGCACATTCATAAAACAAGTGGTACAACAAACTTGCATAATCTGTTCAAGCTAATTAGCTAACAAAGTCACTAATTAGCTAATAGTCACACAAGATTTTATTACTATTGACTGGCAGGACTGTCAGGATAAATAGAACCTACAAACTCTAATAGCTGTGAGCATTTACTAATATACATCAAGGTGCACTAATATCAGTTCGGAAATACTAAAAACATAGATTAACAAATAATATAACCACAGCCATTCTATGTATGAACACAGTAATACGGTAAAGCATTATTGACATTTTAGTTAACGTCTGTCTGAAATCTAAAACTTCAATCATATTTATGACATATAGTATAAATTAAATCTCCTACAGTAGGTAGCTTCTGGATTATCACTATGGAATTTAGCGAGTGAATAAAGTGAGTTAGCCCTATCGGCTGCAGATTATAGTTGTCACCTCTGTAAAGCATTGAATACTCTGAATATCTCTACTAAGGCACGGAGAAAACGTACAAATGCATTGCACTTAGTGTATATGTAATTACTCAGGTATCCCCATACAGTAAGCTGTGATGTTATTTGTTCAATTGTCTTCGGTTCCTCAACTAGAGGCTCCTCCTGTCACAAGTCATAATTAAAATAGTTATGCCTACGTTCTAAATCACGGATCTCAACTATGTCAGCTTTCAGTCTAAGTTTTAAGATTTCCCTCCATATGGCTTCCCTGTGATCTTTGTTGTTGATACCCATTCGAAGTAATGTGTTGTCATTGATACGGACTAGAGCTCTACCTGTTATGTCATGCTGAAATTGTGTTAATTATTTTTCATATTAATTATTCATTTCATCATTCTTACTAATCAAGTGTATTACAATCAGGTCATATATTTCAATAAATAGCTCATTGACTAGCTTATTTTTGCACTCAATGTTAAGAATGATTCTAAGAATTTTGAAAAATTCTTTAATCGATTTTGAAGTTTGATTGAAGCTTTGTTAATTGGATGAAGAACATTACCTCGTGAAAACTCTCCCAGTACATATGATAATAATCACTACAGTGGCGTCGAAGCCACTTTTGGACGTCGGCTTCTGTCCATAAATATATAGCTTTGGGACGGGTAGTTTTCGCCTGAAAATTCATATAAATAGACTCATTAACCAAAAAATGTTATAGTAATAGGAAATTTATGGTTCGAATTTCGGCAAAATATAAGATTTTGCTATATTTAAAATCGTTGGTGTACACAAACGCCTAATTTAAATGTCTAAAATACTAACTTTGGGTTTACTTGAATTAAGATTCGGTTCTTCCACCATTTTCAAAGTTACAGTTTTATAAATTATTTACTACAAATACAATAATGTAGAGGTTCAAGTATGTAAATCCTGTACAATAATAATTAGTGTAAATATTAAGTGTATGTATTAAGTGATTTTACGATGTTTAATTTTGCAAAACAATATAAATGTACTCTTTTTTTTCAATTTGAGTAGTCCAATTGGCAGTCGATGGGAACATAGCCCATAATGCCAAATCATGAAATAGAAATACAATTTAATTCAAATACCAATTAGTATAAAATAACTTTTTTCTAAATCCAATGAATTTTAGTTGTAATAAGTTGCACACAATAATAGAACATATTAGAACATAATATATACGTAGAACGTACTAGTACTCCGATACCACTGTACTTAGTGCGGTTGGAACAGCGTCCCTTCGTTTGCCACTAGGGGCGCTGTTTCAACTCCATGCAAGTTTGAGTTAACTTTTACGCGATTGAAAAGTATAAAAACTCGCACTAAGCAAACAAACTAGCGCATCTGCAGCGTCACGTATAAGATAAGACGTCATAATATATACCTGACTGTATGCGTTAGACGCTTTTTGGATGGGTAAAATCTTGTGTGTCGCGTCACCAAGTGCTTTTTTTTGTTTATTGCTTAGATGAGTGGACGAGCTCACAGCCTACCTGGTGTTAAAGTGGTTACTGGAGCCCATAGACATCTACAACTTAAATGCACCACCCACCTTAGAATATACATTCTAAGATCTCAGTATAGTTACAACGGCTGCCCCACCCTTCAAACCGAAATGCATTACTGCTTCACGGCAGAAATAGGCAGGGTGGTGGTACCTACCCGCGTGGACTCACAAGAGGTCCTACCACCTACAGTAAATTGTGGAATAGGAGTATAACTTTACTTTACTTTTTTACTGGTTAAAGTGCTTTATGCGGCTAAAGAAATTTTCTCTTCAAAAATGTTTCAAGTATGTAAATAATTTTGGACTATAGAGCACTTGAATTCAAAGTACGAACATACGAGTTCTTGCTACAACATTACATCGTATAAGCTATATTGTTTTTACCAGTAGATAAAACCAACAAAAAAAAACAAATACAATGTCAAAAAAGACATTTTGATAAATATTGAAGCTGTCAAATATTGAAGTTGAAAAAATGAAATTAGTTGAAGTCTGAATTTTACCCGTATGAATTATTACATGTAAAATGCCGATATAAACAAAAATAATGGCGCAAAATTTACAGAAAAAACCCTCCAAGGGCATATTGAAGACGTCTCGTAGCGTCGATGGCTCTGACGGAATGCCATCTTGCAGTAAGCGAGCGAAAGAACAGAGATTTGATGAAATGAACATTATGGAGACTTTTCATCCACCGAATAAGGACTATGGTCACATGAAGGTAGAAGAACCTAAAACGCCTTTTTCGGAGACGGTAGACGGTGATTTGGAACCAAATGATGAATTAGATGCTAATCTACTCGCAGCTAAGTTAGCTGCCAGCATGAACAAGCCGCCGAAGTGCGTGGAGTCCTGTGACGATAGTGACGAGGACATGGAGGAGCCGGAGGAAGTACGCCGAAAGCGTATCGAGTTCGAGAAGAAAAGGAAAATGCATTACAATGAATTCCAGGTCAGATATTATATTATGTGATTCATAGAAGCTTGAGTGATTAGATCATTTTCAATTTAAGTAGGATGTAGTGATAAATTGTTTCTTCTAAATGGTGTAAATTGAGTTCCAGGCAACATGGTGTTAGATCATCTGTTAATTAATGTGTTTTTTTAATAACTAATAACCTTGAGTGACTTCATTTTCTTTTCTGTTTTGTTTTTCTGATTGGTGTGAATATTTTTGTTCATCTTCATTGGCATCTGGGACCATAATTTTAATAACAGAAGGAAACTAGCTTGGCACAATATGGCTATAGAATGTGGGATATTTCTATATCATCAGAAGTATTTAGTTCTAAGTTTTGATGTTAAGTTAACATGATAGTAGTTATTTGCTTTATCATTGAATTTGAATAGTTTCTTTAAAAAATATTTGTGTTTGTACACAGAAACAGATTGAGGAATAAAATTAAATGAAAATAGCAGTAAAATCTACTTAAATAAGAGTGCTCTTTGCTTATCAAAAATCCCAAATTAGTTCTGCAGAGGGAATATAGTCTAAAATTTGGAAAGATTATCTAAACACGCTATACATGTATGTCTTATCATACGAAAAAAGCACTTATAGTCGGATTTTTAATTAGACGAAGCTAGCTGACAGTAGCTAATGTCACTTTGTGAAATAATGTTGCTATATTTAAAGTAATAGTGATGCGTTCAGTTCTCGTTCAATCACAAATGAACAATGAGTGTGAAGAGTTAATCATTAATTTCAAACTATAAAAGAGTATTATTTATATTTTACAATAAAATTGTATTAAAGTGCTCCAATATATGTTGCTAGTAGTATGTAACTACAATCAGCTTTTTTATTTTCATTACCTACCTATAATTGTTATATTTTATACATCTATAATTTCAACTATATGATGTATTGGAAATATGACAGTCTTACAAGCTTCCTCGCAGTGTTTTTCTTAATTAAAACACTCGGTATTCAGTACAGGTAGATACTATAGGAACATAATATTTCGTCGAAAACTCGTTGGTATGTACAAAGCACGCCTAAAATTCGAACCCCGTACTCGATATCAGCAATTCGGCACACCAACTGTTCACTAGACAATCGAGGCAATTTCATTAATTCAGGAGTTTTTTCAATCGTTCACTTTGTCACAACACTATTTTTATTTCATCAAAAACTGACAACACAGTAAACGTCAGTTGACTTCGTCTAATAAAAAATCCGACTATAAATGTTTTTACATATGATGTTTATTATTTATCATCGTAATTATGTGTATCTGTAAAGTAATCTTATATAAAATACTATTTGAAATAGTATTTGAAGTCATGATGGCCTAAAGGATAAGATGCTGAAGGGGTTGATAGGTGGAGCATTTATTATATTGACTGCATTTACATTGTTATGTCTAATGACTTTGGTTACCACTTAACAGCAGGTGGGCAGGTCCATTGATCTAAGTAAAAAATATATATTACTAACCTTATTTTACTGTTAAAATTTGATAAGTTTATCAAAATGATAGGAAACCAATATCTTTTTGATAACATATCTATCTATCAGCAAGGAGAAAACAATATTTTAGATTTGTACTGATGGTATTAAATGATAAATAAGTTGAGCTGACGACTTCTCACCTTTCAATTTACAAAGAAGAGAGGACTAAATTAATAAAATATTTTTACTCATTCACGTTTCTGAATTTTCCCAGAGCTTATGATGAACGTCTAAAATCTAAATATTGATGCAATAGTCTTCCTGCTTTAAATATATTATAATAAAATTCCTCTTCCAGGTCTCCTGGAAGATATTTCTTAAAATACCTTTGTAGTTATTTTCTATATTAACAGGCACCCCTATGAACTGCATTATGATATGTAATTTATCAATGAAGCTTAATGAAGATATAATGACAAATTATATTGTGAAATTTATAAGTCTGAGATGAAAGAAAAACAATTTTTTTATATTACCAGATCATGGTTTATGTTCCAGGCATTACAACTGGCTCGACAGCTGATGGCTCAAGAAGATGACGAAGATAATGACGACAAAGCTGAGAAGTCTACCACCTGACTGCCAGAGATGGCCCTCATACTGCAAGAAACATACATTGGCTTCAAGCTGGTTTGGTATTAATACCACTAGAAGTTGAAAGAAAAGTGTTCAAAATGGTACGTTTCAGAATGTTCAGGAGTTCATGGGACTACTGTTATCTTGTAATTATTTACTATTTTTCTTTAAAAATATATTTAAAAGAGCGTTTATGAGTATTATGAGCGTTTATGAGCATATTTATTGTCTTTGGGGTGAAGGCACTTGTTGAGATATAACATATTTTTTTACAAGCAGAGCTTATTCTCGTTATATAATTGAGACAATATTTTATTTTAGTTCAAGAAAATCAACAAAAAATGTGTTAAGTACTTAAAATTGGTAATGTAGTATGGATATGTTAAATACAATGAAGGTTGTTTGTAGTGTTCCCAAATTAAGTTGTACTGTATACATTTTTATCTATTTTAATATTACCTTAATTTTGCTAGTGAAAAGATCAGAGTTCATTTAATAATGTAAATAATACTTATCTTTGCTCATTAGCTACTGATAGATTGTGGATAATTCTGGGTCAACGAAACGAAACATTTGGAACTCTGGGCTGCAGATACTTTGATTCTCTTTGTGTTTTTGATTGTATGTTATGTGCATAATTCATAATTCGATATTATCCTGTAGTTTACCACTACCGAAGCAGGGTTCGTATGTATAGCTATAATCATCCACTATTTGCTTCATAAGACTATTTTTGCGGGATTTGTTGTGCTGAATGAACTACTAACTAATGCCCAACTGCTATGACGTAACTATTTGTCCTTTTTTAAAAAGGTTTGAAAAGTTTATATCTGGAAGAGTTTTTAGACGTAGAGTTATAGTAGGCTGCGGTATGGTGGTGCCCTGTCATTGATAAAATCATCTATAAGTGACAACGACCACAAAAGATTATGTAGGCTCTGCCCACGACAGGAATTAAAAGTAAAACAAGTCTCAAGTACAAACTATTATGAGTATGTGCTATGATTTCACAATTTTAATCAATTTGACATTAATAATGTTGTCATGTTGTTAAATTTTATTTGGTTCCGATCTTTTCGTTATTCGAGTCAATTGTGTTTTTATTTTCAGTTTTTCTAATACCAGTTTGAAGCCAATTTAAAAAAAATTGCAATTGTTCAATGATAATTTTTTTTAAAATATTTATTTGATATATCATGATAATGTACTTTAATTTATGTTCTTAGGTTAGGCGAAATGATATTCCTTTATGGTTTTAAGGAAGACAATTATTTAGTCAAAAGGCTTCCAAATTAAATCCAGATTGTACTTTATGTACATATTTACTTTTAATTCTTCAAATAATTCATTCTCATCTTTGTAGAATTTTCATTTTAGTCTTATTTCTTCAAATTAGTTTTCTCTGAATCTAAAGTAACCCCTGTCGTAATTTATTGGGTAATTCTTTTTTTAAAATATTTGTATAAATACTTATACACCATTCTACAATGACACAGAATGTTATCATATTTTTACAGTATAATATAAAATTTCAGGTTTGCAGAATAATTAGGTCGGAGGTCCATTGATTCTTAATGGGAAAGAAAATCTATTCTTATGAGTTACATACCAAACTAATTAATTTAACTAAGAAATATTTTCATTTTCCGTCACTTTACATTTAATTGGGTTTTGAAATACTCAAACTAAACCGTTATGTGTTTTAGTGTCTACAAATGTGTGCTAAAAATAATTATGCTGTTGAAAATATAAAGGAGGTTATGAAAAATATTGAATAAAAAAAATCTCGTTGAGTTTAAATCACTACCTACCACAAAACAAGTTCTTGAAAATATGACACATAAAAATTTTTGGCGCCAATATTTCGTTACTTCAATCCCAATAATTTGACACTTGTCTTGTCAATGTCCTGATGTTACCTACCGTAAGTCTGTAAACCATGGTTTGATTCGAAGCTGACTTTATTATGACATACATAGAATTAGTTCAAATATTTTATAAAAAGCACTTGTAATCAATTTATAATTTGTCGTAAACGCAGAAATTACATGATTTATATTTAATATAACTTTTTACTTAACATTTCTATTAATTGTAGTGTAAGTTATCCTTAGATTTGCATCACATAACAATGGTATTTTCTAATGCTTTTCTCCTTGTACTGGCTTCCAAAATTTGGAAGTCTTAATAGTATAATTTGAAAAATGTATTATTGCATTATGTGCCAAGTACGTACATATTGTACGTCTTTAATGATTAAAAAGAAAACTATTATCTTCTATTTTACTATATAATTTTCTTTAATATTCATTTGCATATCTATGCATTTAATTAGTATACTTTTTAAATATATTTTACTTAATTCGACAGATTCATGTATATTTACGAAATTTTATAAAATGTTCAAAATGTCATTTTAATTTGAACAAAAAAACTTGTATTTAGTTTTAATATATAAATGCGTGTTTGTGAATGCGTTTGATGTAACAGTTTCATAATATTAAATCGATAAGTTTCAGAAACATGATTGATTGTAATTAACCGTTTTAAACGGTAAAAAATAATTTAAGTCTCATTGCCTTGGATGCCTGCAACTAGAAATATTTATATAATCAAATTCAATTAATCTACTGCGTTTTATATGAAATTAAAAATATTTGCAAGTGGATTATTGGGGTAGTTGATTGGTACATGATATACCTACTTATTGAAACGTACGATATTTTGGAAAGAAATTATTTGAAATCGACTATCTTTAAAAATCTCTGTAATAGAAAGCAAAGTATTGGCAGTACGTAATGCATTACGTATTGTTCATTTAAAACACTTATCTACAGTACATAGGAACGAGTTTAATTTAGTATTGTCCTACGCGTGTCTTATGAGAAATAAAAATTGAAATTTTGCTATCGTGTTCACATTTAGTAAATTATTAATGTATCTATAAGAGAATACAAAATATTAAAATTTCATTGAATTTTTCGAGTTGCAGGGCATATCGTGACTGGGGTTTCTCTGCGTCAAAGTATAATCCGTTCCTGTCTGAAGAGTTGATAACTCTTTTTTTTTAAATGTATGAAGTATAATTCGATATCTTTTCTCGAGATGAGAATCAGAATTGCCATTATAGTGTCTATGGTGGCCACGGTCTCGCTTATTATCAGACGGGCCACCAGCAAAAATGGGCGTATAGTTCTCAATATTACAAATGCGTTCGACATGGTCTTACAATGTCAATTCCTAAGTTTACTTAGGCAGCGGCTGTCAGTTTTTTTAATGTTCGGACATCAGTCGAGGTTGCCGCTTCGATATCTCACTACAAGGCTTGATGGTTTACATTTCGCTTTTGTTTTGAAATGATTGATAGAGCATCTTGCTGCTATGAAGTTTTTCTCACACAGAATTCGAATTACAAATACCCTCGTATAAATAACCTCGGCGAGTTGGCGATGTTGGCGTCTCGTATGCAGCTTTAATGTGTCCCTGGCATTGCCCATGTCCAAGAACGACGGCGACCACTCACCATCAGATCAGCTCGTCTACCATCGAAGCCTTTTAAAAAGTCCTTCACTAGATCCTTTCAAATTCATCAATTTCGGAAAATTATGCAAATTACGCGGAATAAAAATATTAGAATTATTTACTCTGCAATTACTAATCCGAGAGGCGTTTACGTAATAGATTCTCGTATAATTAGTCTTAACACTGAGAGGACGCTGAACGGACGAAAGCTCACGCGTTCTTGTTTCCAGGTATTTCCTAAGCGAAACTTATAGCATGCGTAAAATATAATTAAATTCAAAATAAGACTTAGATCAGTGAACATATTCGAATGATGTTGATCGAGATCATTAATTCATCTCTTAACATGTGTCTCGATTTTCAGAATTGCCAGGTAAGTAATACAATTATATGTTTTTCGTGATTAAAGTGGGTCAGACGAGGAAGGACAAAACTCATTGTCTGAAAAGTTAATGTAAACAACACGTTTTATATCAGTGCAGACTTTTATCTCTTTGTAGAGTGAGCAGAAAATAAATAAATTTGGTGTTGCAAGTATCCATTGCACGAAAATGTTCAAATAAATTGATTGTTACATGTATGTTGTTGTTAGATGCTTCGTAATTAAATACAGGGCTTTCCTAGAGCGATGCGATACTTATATTCTAGAAGAATTAATTATTTTATATTTAACCTAGTGGTTGTTGAAAATATAATATGTAAATTGTATATTAGGTAACTAACATTTTCCATAGAAAATTATATGATATTTCGGTTTCACAATTCTGTGTTTGTTTCGCTTTGTAACACGATTCGCAACAATTTGTATCTCCGCTTATTAAAATAATTATTTTTATTAACATGTTTGAGAAATTTTCATTATTTTTCTCGATTCCTCACTCGACATCACTGGTTTTACTGGTTAATTGTAGTCGTGCATTCTGGTTTGAAGATTGGAACAACCAAACAATCGAGACTTCGCCCTTAACGCGGGTTACCGCATTTACGTTGTGATGTTTATGGTCAACCTACGAATGCCCGTGAGGGGTTTATCCATCAATGCAATTTAAATAATAAAACGTGAAAATGTCGTAACTGTGTTTTTGTACAGAATGTTGCTTTTATTTTAGATGCATGTGTAAACTGTAAATAACGATGGATTAATAAAATAATAAAAATATTATTTGAAAACTTTTGTTTTATTTTTATCTACGCTTGTCGCGCTACGTTACTTACGACAGTCACGAAGTAATTGTACTAACGTAAGGAAACACATTTTTGAAGTAATTCACGAATGGAAAACATATTTATCGACCAAGGGAAAAACTTCCACATAGCGGTTGAAATCACGTGGTATGTAAATGAACTGTGAAGTGTTCTGAACAATAGAACGAGTAAAAAGTAGACTTATTTTCAACCAGTTGCAGCTAAATATACGTAGCACAATGTAACTCTGACGTTGTAAAATATGTGTATGTTCTGAACTTACACATTAAAATTCTATTATTCCTACTTAGATAGTTAGCCTTGTTTAATGTAATAAGTATTTTAATCTATACTAATATTATAAAGAGGAAAGATTTGTTTGTTTGTTTGTATTGAATAGGCTCCGAAACTACTGAACCGATTTGAAAAATTCTTTCACTGTTTGGAAGCTACGCTATTCTCGAGTGACATCGGCTATAATTTATTTTAATAAAATTAGGGATCCTTATTAAAACTCCAATAATGTAACTTAAGGTGTAAGAAAATTACGCACGGGTAGCTACCACCACCCTGCCTATTCTGCCGTGATCCAGTAATGCCTTTCGGTTTGAAGGGTGGGGCAGCCGTTGTACTATAGGAAACTGAGAACTTAGAACTCATATCTCAAAGTAAGTGGCGGCGTTTACGTTGTATACGTCTATGGGTTCTGGTATCCGCTTAACATCAGGTGGGCCGTGAGCTCGTTTAATATAAACGAATATCAAGTTTATTATGATCGTGTATACTGGCATTTTTATCGTCTTTATTAACACAAAGGCAATGTGTTTGTTACTTCGTGGCTTTGTAGTTATATTATAAATTATTAATCTATTGTCGAGCAGTCTTAGGAATTTTATATAATGCCCTTTATATGATGTGGGCAATAGATAAAAAATTTATGAATAAAGTAACTCTTAATTCTAGGAATATTATTACAGCTTTTCTATATGCGCATATCTATGGAATGCTCTTTACAGTTCAGATTTTATTATAACAAATGAGTGCACTCTCTCTTGTATTGTCGGAGTGTTCTTACGCTACATGGTAGATTTTAACCAGTGATTTTATATATCTTAGATTGTTTAGTAAAATGCTTTCTCGATGTGTAAAGTTTTAACCATATTAATTAGTACCATAGAGTTACTATTCTAACTGGAGTGCTTACTTCGTTTGACATAAAAACTAAAAATATACTTTATCTCTATGGCTTAAAGTTTATTTTTAAATAGCAAAAGATGTAAGGAAAAACGGTCTGAAAAGAGAATGATTATTAAGTGGTGGTGTCCCTCTCGCACATTTTACAAGCAAAAAGCAGTGTTGCTAGCTTAGAGGATTTTCCATAAAATCTCGGAATTTGGACCCCCGTCTTAGTTATCAAAAATGGCTTTTAGTGGTTAGTGGATTTTTTAGTAGCTTGGGCGTTGTTGAAAATTATCGAAAAGGTTAAAATCAATCCACTTTACAGGATTTTAAACATTTTATGACAATAATATATCTAAATACATATTATTTAAACGATGTGACTTAAACTTAACTAGAAAATGTTGCGAGAATTTAGAATTTCCATCAACGTCAAAAATTAAATTGGTTCAAAATAAACGTACAAAGTTATGGTGAAATTTATTAAAATAAATTATATAAGAAATATTGATTAGATTAATAGAACATCATATATTAATAAAGCTTATTAACAAAAAAAATATTGTTCTATATTAATAAGAACTCTGTTTAATGGAAAATTTAATGGTAGGTACGTAGATTTCTGATGGTTTTCATATTGAATTTGGTGGGAAGCCAGATTAATTGTTGGCATCACCGAAAAAGAGCAATGAATGGATTAAAAGAAAAATGGCGTCTATTTACGTTTGTAGTACGAAGTTAAAATGGCACTGATACAGCTTGTGGCTTGTTTTTTTTCGAAAATCGTGAAAGTTTCCGTGTAATCATGGTGAACACTTTTAATGTAAGTGGTTTTAAGCGAGAATCCTCTCCAGTTTGTGGAATATTCTTCCATATGTCAAATTCATTGATAAATTTTTACTAGTGTGAGCATATATTTTTAAAATGTGAGATATTTTTTCTCATTATAATATTTAATACCATTTGTCTTGTAAATTGTACTTAATCTATGTCATATACTAAATTTGAAAAAACAATCGTGAAAACTATAATTTTGCAATGTATTTTTCATATTATAAGAGCCATCACGTGGTATTTTTT